TTTTGCCCTTGAGGAGTGGTGGGCCTTCTGATTCTCAAAAATACTAGCACTCTGCCCCACAGTTGCTGAGCTACTATGCCCAGGTGCCTCTCTAGTGAGCCCAGTTACATGCCCATCCCCCTTCAAATCTAGTTTAAAGCTCTCCATGCCATGTGAGCCATGCCCAGGTTTTCGGGGGGAGCTAGCTGGGGGAGGGGGCAGGAAGTCATGGCTTGGAGTGGGCTGCGGCGGTCCGGGTCCGGTCGGTGAGCAGCAGCACTGTAATCGTGTTTGTATATTCCTTTACCGGTGTTATTGCTATTGTTTTCTCTTCCTTTTGCTGTTCTGTTAAACTGCTTTTATCTCAACCCATGAGTTTTGCCTTTTTCTTCCAATTTTGCCCACGGCTGTGGGAGTTGAGTGGGAGGCCGCATGGTTCTTTGTTGCCGGCTGAGGCCAAACCATGACAAATGTGTAAGTATCTTAGTAAGCATATAGGTATATATCTATATAATCTGATCTATATTTATCTCCTACTTAAGGCTGTGCATACATTCATTTTATTTAACTGTTCTTCTGGTCCTGCACAGTCCCTTACCTGTTCCATGAGAAAGACTGTTAGTGATAGCTTTCAACTGTAACTCCCCAGCTAGAAAACAAAGCAACATAGAGAGGTTTTTTTTGTCTGTATGGGGTTTTCAGGAGGGGAGAGGAGGGAAGAGGCAAAGTGTGTCCAACAGGCAACCCAAGCAAGGCTGCTGCCGCCAGCTGGGTGACTTCGCAGCCTGCAGGAGCTGGATTATCAATCATTTTTAGTAATCATTCCACAGTAGTCAGTGGAACAAAATGTTAGCATGTGCCATCCATGCTTCATTACTTGCACCCAGCCAATGCTACATGCAGACTAGACTCCAGCTCCACAACCTGGTGCAGCCCACTGGAGAGCCCTGGGGGTGAGTCCCATGCTCCCCAGTGTTGAAGTCATGGCAGAGCTCCCCCAAAGGCTTCTCTGTGCCCTGAACTCACCTCCATCCCCTAAGCACTGCTGGGTGCTGTATTGGGTTTGCATGGCAAGGTTTTGGTAGCAGGGTGGTCCACAGGAGGGGCTTCTGTGAGAAGCTGCTAGAAACTTCCACCATGTCCGATAGAGCCAACGCCAGCCAGCCTCAAGATGGACCTGCCGCTGACCAAAGCTGGGCCATCAGTGATGGTGGTGGCACCTCTGTGATAACATATTTAAGAAGCGGGAAAAAAACTGCTGCAGAGACAGCAGCCAAAGAAGAGGAGTGAGAATACGTGAGAGAAACAATTCTGCAGACACCAAGGTCAGTGAAGAAGGGGCATGAGGTGCTCCAGGCTCCGGAGCAGAGATTCCCCTGCAGCCTGTGGTGAAGACCACGGTGAGGCAGGCTGTCCCCCGCCCTGCAGCATATGGAGGTCCACAGTGGAACAGATATCCATCTGCAGCCCATGGACGACCCCGCGCTGGAGCAGGTGGATGCGCCTGAAGGAGGCTGTGACCCTGTGGGATGCCCGCGCTGGAGCAGGTTTGCTGGAAGGACTTGTGACTCTGTGGGGGACCCACGCTGGAGCAGTTCATGAAGAACTGCAGCCCATGGGAAGGACTCACGTTGGAGAAGTTCGTGGAGGACTGTCTGCTGTGGGAGGGACCCCAAGCTGGAGCAGGGGAAGCGCGTGAGCAGCAGAGACAATGTGTGATGAACTGACCGGAACGCCCATTCCCTGTCCCACTGCGCCACCCAGGAGGAGGAGGTAAATTTCTAATAGAGAATGAAGTTGAGCCCAGGAAGAAGGGAGGGGTATGGGGAAGTTGTCTTAATATTTGTTTTGATTTCTCATTACCTTACGCTGATTTGATTGATAATAAATTGAATGAATTATCCCAGGTTGAGTCTGTTTTGTCCATGACAGTAATTGGTGAGTGATCTCCCTGTACTTATCTTGACCTACGACCCTGTCGTGGTTTGGCCTCAGCCAGCAACAAAGAACCACACAGCCGCTCGCTCCACTCCCACAGCCGTTGAACAAAAAAAAGCAAAACTATATTGACAGGGCCAAACTCGTGGGTTAAAATAGTGCAATTTAACAGAACAGCAAAAGGAAAGATGAAAACAAAACAGTAACACCGATAAAGGAATATGAAGCCGCGATTACAATGCCACCACGAAGCCCACCGACCAGACCCGCACTGCTGCAGCCCACCCCCAAGTGGCGACTGCTCTCCTCGCCCCAGCTAGGCCTCTTATAGCCCCGGCATGAGTCACATGGGATGGAATACCTGCCCCCTGCCGGCTCCTTGGGGAAATTAACCCCATCCCTGCTGGAACCAGGACAGGCCCTTTCATTATATTTCTCTCCCCTGTCCAGCTGAGGAAGTGAGTGATAGAGCGGCTTTGGTGGGCACCTGGCATCCAGTCAGGGTCAATCCACCATAGGTGCTTACAAGGACTTCTTCCCTCTAGGACAGAGCTGAGATCCATAAATTGAAAGTATAGGGAAAGCTCCTGCTGTGTTCTGATAAATTAGAAAGTTACAGTACAGAAGGGCAAGGAATTACTTGATTACTTGATTAATTCAAAGGTCTGTGAATTTGGGGATTTTCTTATCCAGAATAAATATAGCTTATTTTTAAACATTTCTCTTTCCTTTGAATCACGCTTCCCATCCTGTTCCACTTCTGACACTCCAACGGGGCAAATAACAAAGTTAGTTGACCTAGGTTGTTACAGCAATAAGTATAGGCAAGAGCCTCTCTGCATACCATTCTTTGGCATAAACTATAAACATAGGGCTTATCACCCTGAGAGAGTGAACATTGTCTGCACAATATGCTGTTAATTTCAGTAGTTAGAGAGGCCCAGCTAAGAAGCGAAGTTACTGACCAAAATTGGTTCTGTTTTACCTCAAACCAGGACATTCCACCCCTTATTCCATATCATTTGCATCTTGCTCAGATAACTATTCCTTTTTATCTATCAAATCTATACGCACACAGATATATATAGATACACGCAGGTAGCAAAAACAGTCCCACCAATGGCTTTGCCTTTGCCCCAAGTAAGAAAAAACCCAAACAGTTTTCCCTAACATATTCCTTTCATGCACTTTATCACTTTCTACAGCATGTAAAAGGTCTGACTAAGCAGGACCAGCTAACAAGGTAGCTTGCAATAAATGCTTATCCCAATTCTTAAAGGTTCCACCCCCCGTTGCCTATCACTTGTCACCAGGGAGAAGAGGTCAGCCCCCACCTCTCTACAACCTCCTTTCAGGTAGTTGTAGAGGGTGATAAAGTCTCCCCTCATCCTCTTCTTCTCCAGGCAAGAAGAGCCCAATTTGGCCCAATTACTTATAAGATTCTTTTTAAAATGAGTCCCATTGTCTGATCAATTCTCTCTGGAGTACCATGTCGCCACAAGACTTGCTTTTCAAGGCCCAGGATGGTATTCCGGGCAGCGGCATGGGGTACGGCATAGGTTTCCAACCATCTGGTGCTTGCTTCCACCATTGTAAGCACATAGCGCTTACCCTGGCGAGTTTGAGGGAGTGTGATGTAATCAATTTGCCAAGCTTCCCCATACTTATATTTCACCCATCGTCCCCCATACCACAAAGGTTTTAACCGTTTAGCTTGCTTGATTTCAGCACATGTTGCACAATCATGGATAACCTGCTCAATAGCATCCAAAGTTAAATCCACCCCTCGGTCGCGGGCCCATTTCTATGTTGCATCCCTTCCTTGATGACCTGAAGTGTCATGGGCACATCGAGCTAAGAATAGTTCACCTTTATGTTCCCTGTACAAGTCTGTCTGGAAAATTTGAGCAGCCTGATTGACTTGTTGATTGTTTCGATGTTCCTCAGTGGACCGACTCATGGCTATACAGGAATCTACATGACATACCTTTACGACTAGTTTCCCAGTCAGCAATATCTTGCCACAGTTCAGCAGCCCAGATGGGTTTACCTCTGTGATGCCAGTTGCTCTGCTTCCACTGCTTTAACCACCCCCACAGAGCATTTGCCACCATCCATGAGTCAGTATAGAGATAGAGTATTGGCCACTTTTCTCATTCAGCAACATCTAAAGCCAGCTGCATGGCTTACACCTCTGCAAACTGACTCGATTCATCTTGTCCTTCAGTCACTTCTGCAACTTGTCATGTAGGACTCCACACAGCAGCTTTCCACCTTTGCTGGTTTCCTGCAATACAAAAAGACCCATCAGTAAACAGAGCATACTGTTTCTCATTATCTGGGAGTTCATTATATGGTGGAGTTTCCTCAGCACGTGTTACCACCTCCTCTGGTGGCATTCTAAAATCTCTGCCTTTGGACCAATTTGTGATCACTTCTATGATTCCTTTTTGAGCTCACTGTGTGATTAAGACAACCCACTTACTCCAGGTAGCATTGGTTACGTGATGACTTGAAGGAACTTTACCCTTGAACATCCAGCTGGTTATAGGGGCGCCAGGGAGCTGGTCTTCAGGACCAATTACTTCTGAAGCAGCTCTACCTCCTTCGTACGCTGCCAAGATTCCTTTCTCAGTTGGAGTATAGTTGGCCTCAGAGCCTTTATATCCTCGACTCCAAAACCCTAGGGGTTGACCTTGAGTCTCCCCTGGTGCTGTCCCGATCCAGTATCGGGAAGGTTCCGTTAAAAATAATCCCAAGGACGAGATTAAGACGCTAAAGGCGGTCAAATATCGTACAACCTTTTACTTAATACTTTTAACAAAGAATAAAGCGCAGGGGAAAGGTGAAGGGAAGGCAAAGGGAGGAAAAGAAAAGGAGGTAAAGGAAGAAAATAAGGAAAGAGGGAGAAAGCTCGCTACTACCACTCTGAGTTCAACAGTTTTTCTGCAGATTCTGTCCGAAGTCTTCAATCATTACACGCTTCATGGAGTCTCAAAAGAGGAGACGAAGCGGAGAAGAAAAGGGGGCGCCAAAAGGCGCGTGCTCCCTTTATATAGGGATCTCACTCATGCACAGATAGACCGTAAGTGCTGCTCTCCTGCAGGCCTCTTCCTGCTCTTTTCGCGCCCTTGGTCCCTGCGCAGGCACATGAGGTTGTCACTTCCAAAACCGTGAAGAAGGTGGTCCTCCCAGGAGATGGCGGCACAGTAGCAATGTCGAGACAAAATCACATCTGGTATTGGTTCTCCACAGGTGCTTTCTGCCAGAGGCTCCAGTTAGGCCTATTGTCCCCGGCTGTGGTGTAGGGCACATTTTTAATGTCCCATCCTGTTTGGACTGGTCCAAGGGCTACTGCATGCACAATCTCTCGTTTAATTTGCTCAAAGGCTTGTCGTTGCTCAGAGCCCCACATAAACTCATTTTTCTTTCGAGTCACTTCATCGAGAGGTTTCACAATCTGGCTATAACCTGGAATATGCATTCTCCAGAAACCCACAACACCTAAAAAGGCTTGTGTTTCCTTTTTGTTAGTAGGTGGGGACATAGATGTTATTCTGTTAATCACATCCATTGGGATCTGGTGACGGCCATCTTGCCACTGAATTCCCCAAAACTGGATCACCCATGCAGGTCCCTTGACTTTACCTCTTTTTACAGCAAAACCTGCTTTCAGAAGAATATTGACTCTACCTTGACTTTAGCACGGCTTTTGACGCTGGCCATCTTGCCACTTAATTCCCCAAAATTGGATCTCTTGTTTAAGGTCCCTTGACCTTACCTCTTTTTATAGCAAAACCTGCTTTCAGGAGAATCTTGACTATTTTCTTACCTTTCTTGGAAACTACTTCTGATGTGTTACCCCACACAATGATGTCATCAATGTATTGTAGGTGTTCTGGAGCTCCACCCTTCTCCAGTGCAGTCTGGATCAGTCCATGGCAAACAGTAGGGCTGTGTTTGCACCCCCGGGGCAGTCGATTCCAGGTGTACTGGACACCCCTCCAGGTGAAAGCAAACTGTGGACTGCACTCTGCTGCTAAAGGAATAGAGAAAAAGGCATTAGCAATGTCAATTGTAGTATACCACTTGACTGCCTTTGACTCCAGTTCATACTGAAGTTGTAGCATGTCTAGCATGGTAGCGCTCAGTGGTGGTGTGACTTCATTCAGGCCATGACAGTCTACTGTTAGTCTCCAGTCTCCATCAGACTTTCGCACTGGCCATATAGGGCTGTTAAAGGGTGAGCGAGTCTTGCTGATCACTCCTTGGCTCTCTAGCTGACGAATCATGTTATGGATGGGAATCAGGGAGTCTCGGTTGGTGCGATACTGTCTTCGATGCACTGTGGCAGTAGCAATTGGCATCTGCTGATCTTCAACCCTCAGCAGTCCCAGAACAGAAGGGTCATCTGAAAGACCGGGTAAGGTAGACAGCTGTGTAACGTCCTCAGTCTCTACAGCTGCTATACCAAAAGCCCACCAATACCCTTTTGGGCCTTTAAAATGCCCTCTCCTGAGGTAGTCTATGCCAAGGATGCAGGGAGCATCTGGGCCAGTCACAATGGGGTGCTTCTCCCAGTTATGCTCCCTTTAGCTTCTAATACAGTCGGTTCTTGAGACCCCCCCTCTTACTCCAGTAATAGTGACAGATTCTGCCCCTTTATGATTTGATGGCAATAGTGTACACTGTGCACCAGTGTCCACCAGGGCTTTATACTTTTGTGGCTCTAACGTGCCAGGCCATCGAATCCACACATGCCAATAAACTCGGTTGTCCCTCTCATCCTCCTGGCTGGAGGCAGGGTACCTCTAATATTGAGCATAGTACCTACAATTAGCAGATGGATTCCTATCCGGACCTGAGCCCTGCTCCCTGTGGACCGGAGCAGCCATTCTCCTGGGAGAGTTCTTTCTTCTATCTCTTTTACCTTGCAAATCACTTACTCGTGCCTGTAGGGCTGAGGTAGGACTTTAATTCAACTTCTTCATGTCCTCTCCATAGTCACAGAGGCAAAAGCACGGGATATTCCATGGCACGTTCTTTCTCTTTTGAGCAGGTTTCATAGGAGAGTGTCTGCTCCTAACTGCTGCGACATGGGTCCATGCAGGGGAAGAGTCGGATCTTTCTTCCACCCTAGACAGTTTATCAGTTTCTCATTTTTCTCAATCATTTTCTCAGTTTTATCATTCAATTTTTCCACAGCTAAAACAGGGAGGGGATGAGAGAGAATGTCTTCATAGTGTCATACTCTGTTAGCCACTTCATTTACAAATCATCCTCAGATAGTCCCCAGATCAGCATTGACAAAGTGTGGGAATACATTGATGGTGCACTCTGCACAAACTTCTGCAACATAGATCGTTTACCTGGCATTTCATCAGGGTCTACATTCACTTGTCAGTCACCATAAATCACCTCTCGCACAGCCAATTCTCTCAGGTATTTAATACCTTTCTCCATGGGGGTCCATTTGCTCGGGCGGCATTCGATATCACCCTTAAAGGGATACCTGCCCTTTAGGGCTGATACAAGTCGCCTCCAGAGACTGAGAGTATTTGACTTTCTCCCAGTCACTTTATCGATACCTCTGTCTCTTGCCAGGTTTTCCAACTGCCTAGCTTCTCTGCCATCTAAATCCATGGTATCAGCCCAATTATCCTAGCATTGGAGCAACCAGGAGATAAGTGTTTCACCTTCATGATGGCTAAAGTCCTTTGTCATATTTCATAAATCCTTCATAGAGAAGGATTTAACGATTACCTCTGCATCCGATTCCTCCTCCTGCGCTGACGCTGCCCAAGAAGGACCCTCTCTCTGATTTGCTTGAGAAGGACCCTTTCCCGGATCTTCTTTAGAAGGACCCATTCCTGGATCTTCATCAGAAGAGTCCTCTCCCCTGGTATCTGGCTTTGTCTGGTCTTTGTCATGAGGGGCAGGGGAATGAACTGACCTCTTTTTTGTTTTCTAGTCACCGAGGCAACTTATACCGGTGCTGATGGAGTTTGAGTAGTGGCAGTGCATGTTGTACAACACCTACTCCTGCACCAAGATTTAATAAGAAACCACCTCTGCAACCCATGCAGGAAAATCAACAATAAAATCATGATTTTAAGAAAGCAACCACCATTTCCAAAATCCAAAAGGCATCCATCCCAGAGCCAATACAATATTGTCTCCAAAAACAACATGATACGTGCTGTCGGTTTTAAACTCTGAGCAAGCTGGAATCCAAACTATTCAGGCAATCTGTCAGAGCCCTGGAAGAGACTCAATCGTGCCCCACATTGGGCACCAATAAATCTGTCGTGGCTTGGGCCGGACTGGCCAATGAAAATGAATGACAGATGTTCTCTCCCACCTCTCCAAGGAGAGGAGGGACAGAGAGAGACTTATGAGTTTAGAAAAAACTAAACTACTTTAATGAAAATATTAAAAATCAATAAAATAATTTTTAAAAATGAAATATATACAATAAATACAAAACCAGTATTATACTGAGCATGAGGCAGATGGGATGGAATAACCTGTTGGTCAGTTTTGGGTCACCTGTCCTGTCTGCTCCTCTCTGCAGGTGCGACCCCTCTATGCTTTTCCACTTCCGACCCTCCGACGGGGCATGGTGTGTTGGGTGTTATAGCAATAAATATAAGCAAGAGCCTCTCTGCATACCATTCCTTGGCATAAATTACAAATAATCAGGTCTTATCACTCTGAAAGCAAACAGTTTCTGCACAATATGTTGTTAATTTCAGAAAGTTCAGTTAGTCAGAAGAGGCTTAGCTGCAATGTAAAATGGTAAAACAGAAAATGGGTTCTGTTTTACCTCAGACCAGGACAACAGGTTATCTCTGCCAAAGCAGGGTTTAAAATGATCCCTATAGTACATAGAAGAAAACCAGACAAGTCATGTCATGATACCAGTCATGATATCCTCATATTTTGCTCCTTTCATGTTGGGAAATGACTTTATCTCCATTCATCTCTCTCTCTCCTCTGCCAGTTTCTAAACCATGACAGAACATTGTCTTTTCCTCTGCAATTATTTAGACTTCCTCGTAGGCTCTTGCAATGGATGGTGGCAAGCTTTTTGGAAACCCAAATAAATTTCATTTACCAGTTCTTTATCTGATCTCATCTCTATACAAAGTTGTGCTGTTGTGACTAAAGATATAATTTTATATTGCATAAAGCTGCATTAGCTTAATTCAGCTGATATAAAGTTATGCCATTTGTCATTCACAAATACATAGACACCCATTATCAGTTGAAACCTTGCTTATCTTGGTCCATCTTGCACTGGTGAACTTACAGGTACAAGTTAAATGCATATAACACATTTGAAGCCTTTTTTTAAAAAAATAAACATACAGAAGTTGCACCACTTTAACTAAAAACAGATTCTGTGTGGTGCTGTATACAAGCCCTAAGGGATGGGTGGCAACATTTCTCTTTACAGAAGATGCAAGGAATACAGATCTTGCAGAAGGCGCTAGTAAGTATATCACATTTTAAAATGCCAGCTGCTCAAACCATGGCTCTTCTTCGTGTTTCATTTCAGGAAGTATTTCAGTGAAATTCCTCCTTTCTATTCTCATTTAGAGCAAGCAGAGACTGAGGAGAGAGTCTGGGAAGCTGGCACCCATCAGGATCTAGAAAGCCGGTTGCTGGCAAAATGTTTCTGGAAATTTGAAGAGCGAACCCAGCTCTTTGTCTTTCGTACATATCATTGTAGGGCACTCATTTCTGTAACTGCCTTTTTTTTTTTTTCCACCAGGTAATCCTCATGCCATGCATTACCTGCTGTGTGATCAGTAGATATGTAACTGTGGTTTGTGTGAATTTTAATGAATGAATACACTTAATTTAAAGCTGTTATCCAACAATTCTGGAGTCACTTAGACTCAACACCCATAAAAAGCTGTACTTCTCCATATATACACCTCTGTCTCATGGGTCTGTGGGAGAAGAAAACTTTGCTGCAGCAAAAAGAGGTAACACTAAATTAGCGTGGGAGCCGTGACATCAGCATGGCTCTAGAGAAAGTAAATAGAGGTTTTATTACAGGCCATCTAGTAAGCTTTCCTCTCTCATCTGCTGGGCTCCACCGAGAAGGGTGCAACAGGGGTGCCCTGTGATCGGAGACTCATTCAGGGTATCTGACCTGCAGGCATGGAGGAGTTACCAGTGCCCTCTGCAACTGGAGAGGTGTTTCAGCTTTGAGCAGCTGCGGGGACAGAGAAGGCTCCCTGGAGTCTTCTCAGTCTGTGACTGCTGTCTGGGGGTTGTCTCCCACCTTCCTGACTGACAAGAGAGTGACCACCTGACATCTCTGCCCTCAGTGCCCACAGTTCCCTGCACAGAAATGAAAGAAGGCTGAAAGTGGCTAACCTACAGTTATACAGCATTACAAATAAAACGACTTGATCCAGGCTCAAGCCGCAACCCTGCAATATTATTTCATCCTCCATACCTGGAGGTATGCAAGGTAGGAGAGCAGCCCGCTCCTCTCCCCTCAGGCTGTGTTCCCAGCTCTTCTTCCATTGCCACAGCCTGCTCTCCCACCTTGCCTTCTGGAGGCTCACCTGCACACCCAATGCCTAGAGCAACTCCAGTTCTTGAAGATTGCCTCAGCTGGGGATTTCTTTTTAAGGAACAGGCGTTACATACAGAGATGCATTCAGCAACAATTTAGAATAGTTAGGTGGGGCATGCAATACCTGCAACATAATGATAAGCTGGTAGCTGCCAGCAAATTAATTAAAATAGCCTAATAAATGCACCCATGTTGAGAAGTATATGAATGCTTCAACCTTAAAGACTGATAGGAAAGAAAGGTACCCATTCAGAAATAATGGTGCAGTAGTTGTTCCCTTTCTGAATTAATATTCTCCATCAGAAGCTATACAGAGGCTGCTCTACCATTCTTTGGTATTATCATTATGGGCCAAAAGAATGTGGTTGGTGATGAATAGTATTTGTCCTCTGTACAGGATTTGAACAGGAATAGATTTAGAAAGTGATGTGAGACAGGATGTATTCAGATGATGAGGACTGTGAATTTTTAGGACTGAATGTTAGAAAATACATAATACAAAAAAAAAAAAAAGGCAGTTGTCTTAGATTTGGCAGGTATGCAAGCATTTCTTTCCATACTAATATTTTCTAGAAAGATAGGGGGATGTATTTAAGAGCTGTCTCTGTCTTTCCTGAGGCACTTTCTCTTTTCTGTTTCTATCATCTCTTAGATCCTACAGGGCAAAGAATAGCTTTGCCTGCTCAGCCCTCTGTCATCATTAAACAAATCATATGAGAACAATACCAATAATACACGGAAAGAGCTTTCATCTTAATGGAATCAGCACTGAAGTTAAACCATTCACATAAATAAACAAAATAGCAGCTGTCTTCAAAATTAAAAATGTATCTAGCAGGTCTGCAAGTTGCAAATATTTCCAGACTTCCATACTTCAAATATAAGTCCTTGTCTAGCACCTATGGGTGTTGCGGATCTGATATGGGCACTCAGCTGACAACTGCAGCAGCTAATGATGTTATGAGTTCATCAGCTGTTTGCTGTCACTCCCTACTGAGCAACACACTTTGCATAGCAGGGCTGGCAGAAAGAAATGTGTGACAATGTACTTCTTTCAGCAGGTTAAGTGAATGCATGGGTACATGCACTGGAGCAACCAAGGTAGGACACGCTCCTTCCTACCAACTCTGCTACTGAGAAGCTAACTTCCAATGAGAAAGCCAAAAAGACAACTGTGGTAGTAACTTCCTAGACCTCTGCAGCAATATTTTCCAGAGCTTGTCTCTCAGTCTTCATGCTGTACATTACTTTCCTAGGTGCTTTTGTTATAGTATAACGAACTATTATTTATGTGAAGATTATGTGATTTCAGAAGTCAAAGAGATCACCAGAAAACTGAAAAGGTTATATTTTATTTGCACAATTGGTACAATAAAATAGTAAATTATAATTTCTTTGCTATTTTGATGGCAATATTTTTCAAATGTGGCATAGTGTAAGGATGACTTTATATTTCATACAATCTGCCATGTAGCACAGAAAGGCAGTCTATTCTGGGATGGATTGGAGCTGGCATTCTGCATGAGTGTTTTAGACAGAAATATTATAGTCTGCTATTATTATCTAATTATGACCACTTCTGACATCTCTTTTTGTATAAGTAGTGTCACTGTGTGACATTTAAGCAAGGAAAAAGACTGCAAGAATAAGCTGAGCAGTTCTTACCTTATTGAGCACCCAATGACATCTATGATGTGACATATGGAACAATTAAGCTAGGGTTGAAACTTAGGGAGAAAAAGAGGATTTATGGCCTTTAGATGAAAGGGCAGGCCACTTGTGAGGACTACAAAGAGGTAGTGAGGCTATGTAGGGAAAAAATTAGGAGGGCCAAAGCCCAGCTAGAACTAAACCTGGCTTCCCTTGTCAAGGACAACCAAAAAAGTTTCTATAAATATATTAGCAATAAAAAGAGGACTAAGGATAATCTCTGTCCTCTAGTAGACGGGGCCGGTAACATAGTGACCAAGAATGAGGAAAAGGCTGAGGTACTTAATGCCATCTTTGCCTCAGTCTTCAGCAGTAGAACCAGTTGTTCCCTGAGTACCCAGACCCCTGAGCTAGAAGACAGGGATGGGGAGCAGAATGAAGCCCCTGTAATCCAAGGGGAAATGGTGAGGGACCTGCTTCAGCACCTGGAGGTACACAAATCTATGGGGCCAGATGGGATCCACCTGAGGGTACTGAGGGAGCTGGCAAA